TAATAATAATAATAATAATAATAATAATAATAATAATAATAATAATAATAATATATAACATTTATATAGCGCATTTCCAAAAAAGTAGCTCAATGCGCTTTACATTGGAATACTCATTTTTCAAAAACCTTTCTTACTACTTCCTTTCTTCTCATGCAATATACATTAAAGCACACACACACACACACACACACACACACACACACACACAGACACGGACACACACACACACACACACACACACACACACACACACACACACACACACACACACACACACACACACACACACACACACACACACACACGCACAGAGACTATTTTCATCCAGACATAGGAACAGAACAAATAATAATATAATGAAAGATAACGTTAAAAGCTTATGAAGGATAGGCCTGTAGGAACAGAAAATGTTTAAGATGTCTTTTGAAGCTATCAAGTGTTCTTATTTGTCTTAGTACCATGGGTAATCTGTTCCACACAAATGGACCAAGATATGAGAAAGATCTCTCTCCATATGATTTGTATGATTTTACAGGTGTCACAAGTAGGGTGTTATCGTTTGATGATCTTAGGTTTCTCCCTGGTTTATATATACTGATAAGTTCTTGTAGATAAAAAGGAGCAGTCAGCTCAGTGGTCTGAGGGGAAGTACAGTCGATGCTGATCTAATCTGCCACCTGTCTAAGATATTCACCTCTAAAAACAACTAGCCAACTTCCAAGCGGAAAAAATGTTATCGTAATAATGAGACGGGCCAAGACGTCCTTCTGTTTAGGACGACCAGTTTTCTCTTCCACAATGGCAGCTGTCTTGGAAAGCTCCCGCAAAAAGGCTATATTATATTATAGACATGCATCTCCCCTCGACGCTTAACGGCAACAGACGATGAAAAAGTAAACAGTAGAAAAAGTAAGGTAAGTATACATGCACGGTTAATTCAGAAATCCCGATTTTCTGAGAGGCAGAGCAAGTTTTTAATTTAGTGTTGGTGTAACGAAAGTAAGTTACCTGCAGATTAGGCGCTACAGATCTAGATTTAACGTTTTCAATTGAGAGAGGTATTATACTTTCTAGGGAGGAAGCATATCAGGAACCGGGCTTCTCCAGCCCCCACGCACAGACAACTCGTTAACACCCCCCCCCCCAACCCCCACCCCTACTCCCCCCCCACACACATAGGCCATATATATTATATACATGTACTTACACTCCCACACACACAGACTATTATACACTGCAGATCATGAAGGTGAATAAACGGCGGATAAAAACGATTAACTTGATTAAGAAAGATTAACCTACATTTATTTAAGTTTTGAATCGACAAGCCTTTTGGAAATATTCAAGGAGTGGAGTAACGCCAGGCAGGATTATAAAGCTAAAACGTTGAAATGATTGAAATATCGGTATAGGAAAAAAAATGTAACGAATATCAAAGAGTTATATTTATATCATTACTTAAAAACAAACAAACAAACAAAACAACAACACAAAAAACGAGAGAGCAATAGAAAAAAAGGAAAGAAAATAAACCGAAAAAAAAGTTAGTGAGTCGGAAGAAGAGGTGTGAAGCTCAAAACGTGTTTTATCTTTAGAGAGCCAGTAGATTAAAATTTAATTCTCAGACTATGAGAAAAAAACCCAAACCACACACGCAAAGGAAACGCAATAAAACAAACAAAAAACCCTAGAAGTCTCACGGATTCACAGGAATGTATATTTAAATAAAAGTAAAATAAGTTTACGCAAAGCTCATTGTCCTTGCGAACACAATTACAATTACAGCTTTATTACAAATCTACAAAAAAAGTGAGGTGTGTGCGCGGGAGGGGGGGGGGTTCTCTTGTTATTGTTCACCAAATAGAAGTTACTATGGGGAATCTCGCCCAGGAAACACTATGATGATATTCAGAGAGTACTGATAGTTCTCTTTTATGGCATAGACACATTAATTGAAATAATATCTTGACTTTGAATGCTTTCACATCTTTTTTGGACCCTATTTGAGCAAACTGGTAGGCTTACATGTAGATGTATATTCAAACACATCTTTATCTTATTTTTGTTAGATCTAGTCTTATTGTATTGAGAAAAACACATAGTATGTGCATGTGTGTGTATGTGTGTGTGTGTGTGTGTGTGTGTGTGTGTGTGTGTGTGTGTGTGTTGTGTGTATATGTGTTTGTGTGTGTGTGTGTATGTGTGTGTGTGTTTGTGTGTGTGTGTATCTCTCTCTCTTTTGTGTGGCAGTGTGGCGGGGGGGGGGGGTGTTCAGGGAGTGTGTGTGTGTGTGTGTGTGTGTGTGTGTGTGTGTGTGTGTGTGTGTGTGTGTGTGTGTGTGTGTGTGTGTGAGTGTGTGCATAAGCAGATATAGATATAAATGTAAATATATATATATATATAGATATATATAAAATCTATGTGTGGTATATATAACTCTTCCTTCTCTTAATCTCCCTTATAGATAGATATATATATATATATATATATATATATATATATAGATAGATAGATAGATATGTGTGTGTGTGTGTGTGTGTGTGTGTGTGTGTGTGTGTGTGTGTGTGTGTGTGTGTGTGTGAGTGTGTGTGTGTGTGTGTGTGTGTTTCGCTCGGATAAAAGTTAGCAATAAATGACAAATGATCAACTCGTTCGGACGTAACACAATTGTAATGAATTGACTTCTTGTTGCGTTAAACCTATCATCTTACGATCGTACGAGTTGCGACTCGTAGAATCAACTACGTTTTCCTAACAAAGGAAAGTGTAAGATTTACTTTCAAGTGTTCACAAC